CTTTTTCTTTCCTAATCCTTTCTATCGTCATTTTTCCTCTACTTCTTTTGTATGTTTGTCACGCTCTTGTGACCCGCTATTTATGGGGTGCCTTAATAGTCGAAGCAGACTTTGTACTGTTGAAGTTAAAGAGATGAGCAGAGTTAGTCTAATTTCCTGTAAGTAAGGACTTCTTTGTTGACATCCACCCCTTGGTGCTCTTATGACCTTATGTGGTAGCGAGCGCTGTAAAACCTCTACTAAAACTTAACTTTAAAACTTTATTTTCAGGTCATATTCTTTATCACAGCTGTGTGTGTTATTGAAGAAATCCTTACTCCGACGTGTGAGTGGGAGCAGCTTGTGGAAAAAAAGCAAAGATCTTCAAGTAAGTTTCACATACTTTGGTTATATTTTTAACTTTTTCTTTCTGAATTTGTTTTTGTTTGCTGTTCCCCGTTAAAGAATAGCATTGCCCTTGGAAATAGAGGGACATTGTAGAATTGACACGAAACCATGCAATTGTCAGGAGTCCGGTAAGAGTAAGTTTTTTGTGGTTTTTTTATTTTGTAAGGTTTTACAGCACTCGCAACTGCATTTTTAAGGTCATATAAGCGCGCGGGACACATTAAACTTTTTCAGTAGGTAGGAAATTTTGAATTTTGCCTGGGTGGCGGCCAAAGCCTACTCTTATCGATTTTAGACCTCCATGGGATCTTAAACGTGCATTACTTGTACACGAGACCTCAGAAATTTTTCCCCATTGTCCGAGAAAGCTAGTTGTAGATCTTTCCTACCAGAAGATCAGATGTGTGGCTGAAAGACAGCAGTAAGAAGGAGCCAAGGAATAGCAGTATTAAGGCTGCAGAACGAGTCAGGAGCCCAGAGGAGGGGGCAAAGGAGGTGAGTGGGTGGGGGCAGAAAGTGGAGACGAAAGCAGACGACAAAACATTGCTAGAGAGCAGGAAAGGAGGTGAAAGGAGACAATTTTAGAGAAGAAAATTTTTCCGTCGCTACCCGGATTCGAACCCGTGACCTTTGAATGAGAGGCGAACACCTTAACTTCTAGGCCACAAGAGCCCCTGGAGTAGGTTTAGGGATGTAATCAAAAACGAAGGCTCTGTCGTGGCATATATCTGCTGAAACTACTCAGAAATTGGACACTAGGCAAACAAAAAAACTATGCAACATCTGATATGTAAAAAATGGGTGTTGGTTGAAAGTCTACCACGATGTTTTTGGCTTACTTGATGGTCTACCGCTGGACCGGTGTGACAACTGGTTTAGTTAACTGTGTGCAGGCTTTTATGCAGGTTTGGGATTGGTGAAAAGGATCACTTTACATTTTCCTTCTGCAATTTCACTGGTTTGGGCAATTACACTATTACACACGCTTAGGCAATTATACACACGTAGGCAATTACACAGGCTTGGGCAATTACACTGGCTTGGGATTTATATGTGGCATCAGTGGCATAGTGGTTAGGCTACGGGACTCATATGAAAATGCGCAGTATAAATGCTATTTATTATTAATTATTATAACCAGGATCGCTTTACATTTTCACCTTGCCCTTCTACAGTTACACCGGCTTGTGTGACAAGGATCACTTTACATTTTCCTTCTGCAATTACACAAGCTTGGACAGTTACACACGCCTAGGCAAATACACAGGCTTAGGCAGTTACACAGGCTTAGGTAAACAGGCTTAGGCAATTACACAGATTTGGGCAATTACACAGGTTTGGGCAGTTACACAGATTTGGGCAATTACACAGATTTGGGCAGTTACACAGGCTTGGGACTTATAACAAGGATCGCTTTACATTTTCTCATTTTCCTTGTACAATTACACAGGTTTGTGTTACAAGGATCGCTTTACATTTTCCTTCTCTGCAATTACACAAGAGTATCGTGGAAGGAAATGAAATCGAATGAGGTAGTGCTTGATGAAGCCCACGTGGGACGCTCAATGTTAAAAACAATCAGGAAACAACAAATGCCCGAATAGACTTTATAAGGGTCTTGAACATCTAGCTCTCACTGGCAAAACTGAGGGCAAGTGAGGCAGGGGTAGGCCCAGAACAACATACTTAGG